ACCATAAGTCGCGTAGCATGAAACAATATGCATCCTATTGAGATGGCAACAGAACCAAGAACTTCCCTGAAGTAAAAGGTCTACTAAAACAGTACGAGTCTCCTGTAGGGCACAGGAGTCTTTCCCGATCGTTCACCAATTACATCAATTCCATTCTCAGACCATAAAGAACGATCTACGAAATGACAGGTAACTACCAAGTGTAAACCTGAGAATTCCCCAATCTATACTGGTCACATCAACCAGTGACAGCATCGGAGAGAGAATCCTGACCTATATGGCATAGGATATATAAGTCCTTAAACCAAAATTCTCTCCCCGCGAGAGAACCACAGCCACTACGTGTATCCCGAAGGAACCTCAACCAACTGACCAGCCAGGGCAAGTCCTGCGGGCAACTGGCCACCCATAGTGCCAGATTATATGGTGCTCTGGTTAGACCCCATGTCAAATCATTCCAAGGAAAGGCCGAGGATACGTTTGATCATTACCCGGAAGACTAGAGGTATCGATAGCACCTCTTTTCCCCGGGATATTGCAATAACATCAAGATGGATTTCACCCGGGGGGATATTATCTTAACAATGCAAAACCCAGCTCCCTTTTCTCCCAGTTTTGTGTAATAGGTGTAACAATTTATAACCCATATGTCCAGTGTCCTGTAAAATGCCACTTGGTTGTGAGTGCCAAGTGTTTGAAATTGTTTATACTTTCAGTAAATTACTAAAAAAAATCGGCAACACTGGCCAGATGCTACATGAGTTTGTGTTCTTATTGGTGTTCTTTGTTCTCGTATTTGTCACTTTCTTTTAACAAAAGCTATTTCTATATATTTTATCTTATTAAACAGCACGATTATCTTGGATTATATGAGTTGAGTCATTACATTTACCCCCATTTGCTCAATGTCTGGTTATTTTTAATCGTAATGATATAGTGACATATTTAATACAAAAATAATTTTCAAGGGAAAAATATCTTTCGGTTAGACGATACGCAGAACGTGAGATAATGGTCCTCAATCTAAAACTCTTTCTAATATAAAACAAATACATAATCAGCGGGCCCTTTTGAAATATCGTGCTAAGAAATCAAGGTTGTTTTGAAACAGTATTTAGACTTATTTTAATAACGGTAATTGTAAATAGACCTATGTTTATGGATAATAGTGTCTTAGGTGTAACGTTATCTTGGGTTATTTCGTTAACAGTAGTCTGATGAAAAGGTGTTTTAAAGGTAATTAATGAATTCACTTTTAGCAATCTGTTTCATAAAAACGATAGTACATAAATGGAAATATGGGAAAAGTTTTGAAAACAATTTTACTGTAATCCTTGTATTTCAATATATTACAAATTTCTGTAGAAAAAAATGTCTCGACGTGTTCGACTTATCTAGGTAAAATGTCATTAGCCTTATGCATGTACATATGTATGTATATATGTGTATTTAACCGATAATATTTGTTATTTTGGCAAACTTGTTGTTTTTAATTCTTTGTTTATTGATTTCAAATAATCATATACTACATATTATAATTTAATTTTGTATTGTAAAACAATTGACTGAATATATACATAAAAAAGTACCAATCACCCAATAATGCACCCGCAAATGTATTTGCTATACTCATCCATAAATAAGTTTGTAATTTCGATAATTTGAAATAAATAAATAAAAAATAAAGGAGATACGAGCATATGTATATTTTTCTATTATAAAAATACATATTGACTGGTTTAATAATAATAATCTTGTGGAGTCGTAACCATAAATATAGAAAATTACTATGTTAAAGGGTATATAAGATGCGGCATAGCCAAATAGTTCGCTATTAAATTTCTTTGAGTGTATATTTTTTTATTTTCAGAATCATATTCGTTAAACAAATTTGTTTGTATATATTTATCGGAACTGGTTGCAACTGTAGAATTGTTGTGTATTAACATTGAATTGATTTTTTTATTTTGTTTTATTAAAAACTCACAAATAATATGCATCGTCATCGATATACAGTTACTTATATAAAAATAATATTAAATTAATTTTATCTTAAAACTTGTTGCTTTTATTGATATTATATTCAATTTAAAATAAAACGATTTGGCTGAAAATGAAATTTACAAATACATAAATAATGCTGAATTTTAGAAATAACTCGAAAGCACAAGTTTTGCAAAATTATAAAAATTTTATTAAAAGGCATTTACTTTAATACGACTAAATTAAAAATGAATGCAAATATTTTTTGTTTGGGGTGGTCAAGAAAGAGAAGATAAGTAAAATTAGCAGTGTTGCCAGCCTAGCCTTTTTGAGACCAAATATACATACTTTTTATACCTTTTAAGGGCTCTTCAGATGATGACACTTTACGTACGACATGTCTAATGAAAAAGTAATCCATTCGTACGACAAAAAAGAGAATAAAAGTCGTATGATTTATATTTTTTGTGTTTACACGATTGCTATAAAACAATAACAAAGTAAGATGGAAACAGCTGTTTCACTTTTTTTGTATGTGTTTACATAAAAATACATCCCTGCTGTAATGCGACTTGAATGTTTTTGAATCATTTCAAAAAATGAAGAGAGCCATACGACTGTCAAATTTTCCATCCGTATGTTCTCTCAATGTGTGATAATTTCGTTACATATTGCGTTTAGACGATCCAATCCGTTCTCTTCTACACACAATTTTGACAGATCTTATAACTTGTGTGTTAGTGTGAAGGGGGCTTTAGAGGGTAGAAGTTGGTCGTTATGTTTGTAATAGTGAGAATAATGTATATTATTGGTCCTTATAAAATTCTGAGTCGATTTAGGTATATCCGTCTGTATGTGTAAAACTCGTTGACGACATAACAAGAACATTTATATTCCTAAGATATTAGGTATTGAGATTTTAAAACTTGCGAACAAGTTTAGTTAAGTTTTATATAAAGAAAAAAATGTCTGGATCGGTCCATTTTTGGTCATAGCGTCCATAAAAGGTCACCTTCAGAAAATCACTTAAACTCATATTAAATATAAAATTATTCTGCGAAATTTTTTCCGTATCGTATAATGTAACATAAAAGTACACATACAAATAATTCATTGAAATTGTTTCCAAAACGGCCCATAATTGCTTATAACTCCCATACAAGATCTACTTATGAATATCACTTAGGACGGGTTTTTTACTACTCTGTTGAACTAGGCTTAACTTGCAGTTAGATTAAACTCGGAACAAATTTAGGCGGACTTTGACAGATGACTGACTGTGTTTTCAGTGATGGATTTAAGAGCAGTTAACTTTATTAGTATTGCCAACTTTTCAGTAAAAAACTTAAACAATGAACAGCTGTTGTAAATTTTCTTTTTGTAAAATGAAAAATTTTAGAAAAATTTAAAATAAAAAATATAAACAAATCAGAAAATTACTATTAAATTATGTTTTTCAACTTCCGAATCGGCCAATAACACGCAGTTCAACTAAGATAATAAGTAACATAACTGATTACTGAAAAACTCAAAATATAGATTAGACTAAGTTTAAACAAAGAATGCAGATTAACCGCCCTTAATCGCCAATAACTCATTACTAAACAACGAAATTCTAATAAAATTCAACACAAATATACATATAAGGTCCACTTTCGAAAATCATTCCAAAAGGCACAGAAATGAGTTATATGCAGTTGTCGTTACGCAATTCAAATTTAAGCTTTCAAAATTTATAAAACGTTATAATTCAGTATTACTAAAGCATAACTTTAGGCTGTCATTTAAATAATTTGTAGTATGACACACAACTGTTATACATAGTGTTGCCAGTCATTGTGTATTGTTGCATTGTTTAACTGTTGCCAGATGATTTTAAAAGAAAACCCGTTAATATTAAAAATATATATATATTTTAAATAACGTACATAATTGTTCATGTTTAAAAACAAATGTTTTGAATATAATAGAAACATTTATATTTATTGGGGTTGTTCCCAAATAAAAATTATTTTATTGATGTTCCCTAAACTAAAATGAATTAAAACTACCCAGCAAAAAAAGTGTGGAAAAAGATGTAGAATTTTCATCACAACTAGTAACCCGAAGTGCTTCAAATTCGGGTGTAAAACCTATGAATTTTACTTTAGCGTGTCATTGGAGGGATGTTGTTCATTTTTGGCAGCTTTGAACTACATCTGATCTTATTTTTAGAAGCAGTAAAAATCTGATATTTGGATGTCAAAAATAAAACACATTCTCTTAATGACACGCTTATGTAAATTTCACTACTCTTTCACCAAATCTTGATGTACTTCAAATATGTTATTTGTAATGACTTTTCCACATCTCTTTCCTCACTTTTAACTGGGGTTTCATTTGTAAGGAAATATTTGGTTTATAAAAGTGAAAAATATGTAATCGCATTTTAAGATGTGATTAAGATGTAGTTTGTAAAGTATGACATCAATTATTTTTTGCTGGGTAAGTTCACGTTATTTAAAAATGTTCCTAGATCAATATTTGATAAATTGGATTTACTTGGACTTTAAAACGCAGTATTTATGTTTGATTATATAATTTTCAAAATATAAAATCATTTTATTATACACGTACACACTGTTTACTTTAAAATCATTTATGAAATGCAAAAACAAATTATTTGCTAATTGCAAAAAAAAAAACGTATCTAAATATTTGCTACACGATAAGAAATAAGAAAGTAAAATATTTATATTTTTAATCAAAAAATATTTATTTATTCTTATCAAAAGAGAAGGAAAACAAAATTAAATACATACATAAATATATTATTAAAATAAAAAAAAATTATGGAGTATTGCTCCTCACAAGAATGTAGAAATTTTAAGAAAATAATTCATGTTTTTTTTAGAAACAAGACAAAAATATATTTGTTATACTTATTTAATTCTGCTTTAGTTTCGATTAGCAAAAAAGCTAAGCATTTTATATTATTTAGCAAAATATTTGTTTATAAGTTAAGGCTTTGTTTTTTCCTTTAAGCACAAAAGGGAACATTTGACAGTGATGTTCGTTCGCTTATATCAACGAAGAATATATGTTTAGGTGTTTTAACGCTATTAAGGAGTAGTAGTTGTAAGTAGTTTACTTAATTAAGTCTACTTTTTGGACAAATTTTCCAAGAAAGTCTTATGACGTTGGATGGCTTCTTCGTGTTCCTTGATTTGTTGATGATGGAATTCAGCTTGATGGATTTGATCATTCTTCAAGCGTTCCAATTGTTCTCTTTGCTGAAATTGACATACAGTTAAATTATATAATTTGTTTAAAATCAAATATGTAGCTATGCATATGTGCAAATATTTGACAAATTGCTAATTTTAATCATTTGTCAATCGTTATCAGTTTATAAAAAAATAGCATGTGCATGATAAACAAGTTAAATAAAATATGTTTATTATGAAATTTGACATGATTCCAAAATTTTAAAAATATTCAAAATTTTCGAATCATACTATACAATAACAACTATATAGTGGAAGTAATGTCCAGGCCTAAAAATTGCATTTTTAGTTGTGCTAGAACTAGTCTTTTTTTCCGGGTGCAGGTTTTCTTCTATGTCCGCTATGGGCAGTGGACGAACTTCAAGTACAAAATTCATGCGATATATATATATGTCGTTTAAAGCTGCCATATACGAGGACTGATCTATCATCTATCCAGCTCATAATTACGTTTATTCTACTCGTATATTCGAAGATCCTTCCTTACATGTCTCAGGGTAACATTTATCTGTGTGATCTTAAAGTTTTAATGTCAATATGACGTTATGTTCCTTGACTGGGAGGACCCTGATTTACTCGTGGGTAGGTAATTTTCCGAGATAATTTTTAAGCAGCTCATTACAGCCCTTAGGAAGCTTTAAATATTTGTCAAATGGATTTCACTGAGAGAAGGTGACCACACTCCAAGTTCAACATTCGTTCTGTATAGGAATGTCGGTCAAATCTGCCGTATACGACAACTGATTCTGCACAAAACTATGTCAATTCTCCTAGTATATATGAAAATCCTTCTTGACTTGCCTCAGGGGAGCATACATCTGTGTGATCTTAAAGTTGTAATGACTCCCACCGAAATTGTTGTGTTTCTTGTCTAGAAGAACCTTCATTTACTCGTGCAGGTAATGTTCCGAGTTAATTTGTGAGGGCAGCATTTTGATAGCTTTGAATGTTTCTCTATTGGGTATCACTGAACGATAGTGACCACATTGCAAAAGCAGAATTAACCACTAACCGACCAATTGTGGTCGCTTTTAGCGCTATGGGAAACTTGTTTCTACTTCACAATTTGTCCGTGATTGGATTGGCATTAGCTGAGGAAGTAAATAGGTTATCAAATGTGGCCATTTAGAATTTTGGTTGGAATCGGAATCGCAATTTGTGCTCCATCGACCACAGCATAGTTCATATTCTTTGTTCTTTCTTTAAGGGAATTACAATGTATCCTTAGGGTCTACAAGTTTATGTATAACCCTTGAAGACCCTAAACTAAACTTAAGACGCTTAAGAAAAATTTAATGAATACATTCTTTAAAGATTCCTATAAATTTCTGTTTGTTTATACCGGCTAAATATTGATTGAAAGTTTTGTTGTTGTTGTGAGTGAATAGATGTTTAAAATAAAAGAGTTTGAGTGTTAAAAAAACGCGCCACCACCACCTTTAAATGACTTTTAAAAGCAAAGAAATAAGAAAATAATAAACAACAACGAATGCACACGTCTGGAATTTTTAGAAATAGGTAATAAAGATTTTAGCAAAAGACAAATCAATGGAATAGTTATATAAAAATAAATACATACATATATGATATAAATCATAATACGCATTTACTACGGTCAAAATAAGTATTTCAAAAAAAAATGTTTGTTTTAGCAAAACAAAATAAACAACATATGAATGTGATGACCTCATAATAACTGTATGTAGTATGTACTTTCTTAAATTTAAATCTGAGTACAAAGTTATATAGGTACACATACTACTTAAATAATTGCAAATATTTCCAACACACTTGTATAAGAATAATAGCAACAATCGATAAGAAATTTTATAACTTTACCTTCTTATAGAAATATTCTTCTTCACGAGCTGCTTCCATTTTGCCAAAGCTACCGCCGGCTGAACGAATGGAACCACCACCGCCACCACCTTTGCCAGCACCACTACCCAATTCTCCCAATTGGCTACACATTCTGACAAATCTAGCAAATGCAAAAGAAACAGAAATAAATAAAGCGTTAAAGAAAATAGCTAAGGAATTATGGTAAGCTGCTATAATATTCCGATATACCTAACTCCCGATTTTTTGTAGATCAAAGTCATTCTTGGTAAGTATAATAGATACATAACAATTTTAACTACAGTTTAATGGAAGGACAGTCAGACGGACATTTTAATCAGACGGACATTTAATCGACTATGATTAGATCTGTACATTTGATTGCAAAGTTTGGACTAATGAAAGGCAAGTAATCCTATGCCAAACTGAATACTTTAAAATAACAATATCTTTATGCGTCACAACCATCAGCAAAAAGTCATAATACCCATCCCACTATAGTAGTGTATTCTATAAAATAATAAAGAAAATATTTAAAAATAAACTGCATTAAAATTTAATATGTAAAAGTTAAACACATCATGGTGGATATATTCCATGTTTCAAATTAAATGACAAAGCATTTATGGTCAAAAAACAATAACAAATAATGTATAAGAGAAATTCACTTATTTAAAATGTTAAAAATAACATTTACTAAAGACGCAATAGTATGTATTTATAATTATCTACAAAATAATTATTGTTAATTAAAATAGAAAAAAAGAATAGAAAAACTTACTGTACTCCACCTGGATACAAACTGCGTCTAGCCACAAACATTTTGAATTGTTTTAAAATTGACAACTGCAAGAAAACAAAATAAATATTTAAATTTAATTTCCACTTTATTTCTGACTCCAGCAAAAAAAAAAATTTAATAAATCAAGTATAGATAAGCTGTCTGTACTATTTATTCACCTTTATTTTATTGAAAAAAAAAAAGAAATACAAGTTTGCTTTGCAACGATTACAAGTTGAATGAATGTATCTGTCGGTTTTTTGCTAAAAATTGTCTGGAAAAAGTGAAAACTTCTTTTTTCGTATTTTGCGGCTTTTTTCTACTTGTTTTGTATTATTTTTTATTCGTATTTATTTCACAGCCCTGCGCCGACAAATATTAACGGCGGCGGCTGACACTACAAATATCGGCGTTAGCTTTAATCGACTGTAAGCTGCCTAAATGTTCAGTTATTTTTAAATTTTCAACGATTTTAAATAATTAAAAGCGGAATCCGAGAGATTAAAAAGTGGGATTTTGAAAGCTAATATTTAAAAAATCGGGATTGTCTACCAGAGTAGAAATTTTTGTATTCGTAATACTATTTTGTTTATTACTCTCGTTCTCGAGAAATATTTTTATTTCAACTCTTAGGAAAACACAATCAACAAAAACAATAAAATTAGCAATTCGGAAAAAGAAAAACTTATTTTCTATGTAAATAGTAATTTTTTCATTTGTTTTATCAATATTATTATTGTTTTAAATGTTTATTTTAATTTTTTCTAAAATTTTTTATTTTACAAAAGTAATATTTTCAAAAAACAGCTGTTCATTGTTTGTGTTTTTGACTGAAAAGTTGGCAGTACTGACAAAGTTAACTGCTCTTAAATCCATAACTAAAAAACACAATGACTGGTTTAAGTCCACCTAAATTTGTTCCGAGTTTAATCTAACAGCAAGTTAAGCCTAGTTTAACTGAGTAGTAAGAAACCCGCCCTTAATTTATATACTCTTCACCTTCGTAAAAATTCATTCAACATCGAAAGCTTTAAGAATTAATTGTAGGAATTAAATCAAAGGGAATGATTTTGTTTAGCCTCATTGATGAATTGTGATATTCTTCAGGCTGAAATATTTGCGATTAAGAGTTCAGAGAAGGTCATCAAGAAACAACTTTGGTGTAACTAGCGCCACTAAGAAATTTGGGGAGATGGCTCTGTTCTCCAATGGAGACTATGAAGTCATTGTGGACTGTGCCCTGCAGTCCGACAAAGAGTCAATGCATCCGAAAAAGACAGTGATTTCAGTGAACTGCTGGTTGGTGACTAGGTGAATGACTGTTTTCCGATGGGGAGCATGATATTTGTAACTTTAATATTCGTTGACGACGATAGAGTAGTCAGAGGAGAGTTTGACTTTGACTAACATTAATGACAGGATTTTACAGAATGAGAGACAATTTTTAACGGATTGTGATGTGATCGAGCTTCAGGGGTTATCGGTGGAATCCTTTAATGAAACTTATGTCACTGGGTTGGTGGCGCTATTTTCTAATGGGATTGGGAAAAATCCGAGTGGTGTGATATGGAAAAGGAACATCCATGCCACGTAGCATGAGTTACGGATTTTAAAGGACTGTGATATGGACGAGCTTATGGTTATGTTTTCCGATGGGAAGCATATCTTTTACTCAAAATATGGTATTCAGGATGAATGCTACGAGTATCGGGTACTGTGTAGTACTCGAGAGAAGCGACACGAACAATTCTTTAGAGTGGGGTTTTTAAAGAACTAAGATGTGAACGAGATTCTTGGGTTGTAGGGAGACTCCTTTGATTAAACTTGTGCTCATTCTAAAGGTATAACTATCTCCGACTACTAACGAGGGGATAGTCTGGTGTTCCTCCATGAAATACTTCAATAAAGTTAAACAATCATCATTCTATTTTACACAACTTTCTTCTACAATCCAATAAAGAAACACATATCCTAAATTTCGTTTTGGAATCTACAGTAAATTGCAAATGCAACCAATATTTTTGGAAATGGAAATTTATTAATTTAAAGTTATTTATTATCATTATATTATAAAGAACATAAAACTCACCATTGATTTTTTTACTATTTAAATTATTTTAGTACAAAATTTATTTATTTTTTTTTTGTTCTTATTTATTAAACATTATTTATATATACAATTATTTATTTAAAAATACAATTAGATTAAAAAATATATATGTTTTTATTATTTAATAAATTATTATATATCAGAACCAATAATAAAGTGTATATTAAAAAACAAAAACTTGAATATAATTGAAATAGTTTCATATAGAATGATTGCACACGAAATAATAATTATTTACTAAAATAATAGTTTTCATAAAAGCCATATTGCATAAAATAGTTTAAAACAAAAACTAAAAAACAATTAAATTACGATTAATATTTCAATGAAAAAATCACATAAGTAATAAACATAAAATAAGTACCAAGTATTTATAACGACTCCTTATTTCAAAATGAAATTTTAAAATATTTTTAAAAGTTCTAATTAGTTCACTTGAAGCCACCTGATAGTTCCGTTTCAGCTAAAAAGAGTGTAAAATACTAGGCATTTAAAGTTATGATATAGTAAAGAAGAAGAAAAAAAAAATTATTTATAATTTTATAAATTTAATAAAGTGTATATTTTTGTTTCTTTCAATTAAATGCTTAATTTATGTATAGAGCATATTTTCTTATTAACTAAATTAGTTTTAAATGTATTTTCTTTACAATTTTTTTTATAATTCATAAAGTATATTTAAATTTAGTAAAATTCATTAAAAATTTAGTTATTTTAATAAAGTGTAGATTAGATAGAATTTAAAATGAAAAATTTTGTATCAAATGTTCTTAATTTATATGTATTTATGTGTCATATTGCCTTAATGAGTCCAAATGTTGTAATATATTGAGAAATTGAGAAATTTGTAACAAATAAGTAGTTTTAAAATATAAAAAATACAATAAGAAATTGTTTAAAAAGTAGAAAATGTTAAACATAACCAGTAAAGACTTCTTCTGGCAAAAATCTGAAAATAAAATTTAATTAGGTTTATATTAAAAAGCTTGAACATCTTCGAGTTTATTTTAAGAGTTTGCATGGTAAAAAGATTACTCTAACAGTTAATTTCGAACATAAAATTGAAATTAATTTCTTTGAAAATTATAAAAGAAAAAATCTTAATAAATACCTTTGAAAGTTAAATTAATTTCTTAACATCTGTAGCCGCTACAAAACCATTATTCTGTGAAACAACCGTTTCGCGCATGCGTGAAAATAATGTAGAATTGCGTACATTTAAAACGCCACTGCCAATAACACTATCGTTGGCATTTAATTTAACAATAGTTGGTTTCCTTTTAACCACATTTACACCGCTGACCGTGGAATTAGATGCTTGCGTGGAGGAGACTTGATTTTTGGGTCCCATCATAAAATAAGTACGCGGAGCAGAAGGTTTCTCTTTCAATTCTTCTCTCTTTAAAGGTATTTCATTTGTTTTAGTTGCCGCAGCTGAAGCTGGACCAGCCGTTTCATTGTTGGCAACATCATTTGGATTAACACGTACATTTGCCGAATATTTAGAGGGTCTTAATTTTTCTGGTATCATATGGGATTTGATCTCCAGCTCTGTGGTATTAATGACTTCGCAGTCAATTTGCATTAGCACAATATCGCCATTGTGTGATGGGTCTCCGGCCGGTAACATGAGAGACATTTTAGGGCGTGAACTTTTATTATAAACGGAAGCCGGTAATAGTATATGATCCATATTAAAGGATAAAACATAGAAAGTATCATCTTGTCTTTTAATGCCTCTAAAAAGTCTCAAATATTCCTCACTAATTCTGGGCTTAAACAAGTCTAATGAATTACGTTCTCCTTCCATATTCAATTTTGTGTGTTTTTGTTGTGTTTCTGTGTCCAAAAAGATTTTACGTTTCTGTTTCGTGCCAATGGGAGCCTGTAGCGGTAAATCGTAGTCCATATAAGAGCCAGAGTTAAATTTAAAGTGATCCATTTGTTCAAAATCATTGCCAATTCCGTTGCCAGTTAAATTCAAATAGTCATTGCCGCCAATCCATTTATGTAAATTCCTTGCCAATCGCATATTTTCCTGTGTAGCATTTGCATAAGTCGTAGTCAAAGGCCTTTTTATAGGTGGCTCATCTTTAGCCGAAGTGCCATTCATCTTATCCGCTGTGGTACGATTAACGGGACGCAAGAAATGCAATGGCGGTGGTGGCATATTTGCCATTTCAGTTTCACGCTTACTGCGATTTGTCTGTTCGTGAAACTCATGTTCATTTGGAACCCACAACAAACGTCGTCCAGTTTGTACCACTGGCTCATCGTTGACCGTTGTCTCGATGGCATTCTCGAGAGCAGATTTATTTAGATAATTTTGAAAATTACCCACATTCAATGTTACCATAAACGCCATGGCAAAGAGTACAGCCACATTTTTCTTAACTGTGGCCGCATTCATGCGTTGTTTGAAACCTTTATTCGAGAATGCACCCGAGGCGTTGGCAGGTTTTGGAGCTATCTTCACATGATGTGTTGTTGATGCTGTTGTTGTTGTACTACCACAATTATTATGATTATTTGCAGCACTGCCACAATTATCCAAATGTTGTTTGGCATTGTTCAAAAGATATGTTGTATCGATTGCATTTAATACTGCTCCACCATTTTTACCATCCATATTTAGGGTGTTGAGAATGAATTCACTAACATTGCCATGTTTACAATTGCAGGTTTGAGCGAATGCCATTAATTGTGAACGTAAAGAGGAATTTTCCTAGAATAAAATATAGAAAAGGCAAAGATTAATGGTTGATTTTTAAATATAATAAGTTTATTTAGTTTGTTTTAATAGGTTAGATGACATATCTAGTGTCTAAAGTTGTTTCTTTTAAACAAGCTACATTTTTTTACTATTGCCTAAAAGTATACTTTGGTAACTAATATCAAAAGTGATTAAGTTGATAGTTTAATTAATCATACTTTGATATTTATACTAAAACCAAACATGTGCTTTTTATTTGTTACAAAATACAAATTTTTCTTTTGTTTTCCAATACCACAAAACTAGTTAATGTGTTTGTGTTAGTCTATATTTATTAACTAATACTTATGATTAATTAGTAGTCAAACTACTACAGGGAGTTCAGCGTACATGCTGCTTGGGTATAAGTGGTGCCATGTGTACTACTTCAACCAAGGCTCTGGAAACGTTGCTAGATATTCCACCCATTGAAACATATTTAAGATATGAAGCAGCGCTTACAGCCGGCTCTTTACTT